TTTAGGGTGCGAGTCCTCCGTTCCTAGAAACTGGGAAAGTTTAATTTGTATCTTTCAGAAATGAAGACAGTGAAAATTAATTGAGTGAAAGCCAAAAGGAGTTTGTTTTAAAGACATTTTGTTGCATATCTGAATCTGGAATTATTTTGCTTGTTTCACAGCCACTATCTTGGATGATGGCTACAGTAAAGTGATAAAATAATGTTACTAAAACCAAAAATAGGAAGTTAACGTTTTTTACTTACTATAGAATTTTCATTTTTAAGTGCTGCAAGTGGCTCCTGCTTTTAATAACTGTATCTCCTAGCAGTTGTGTCAATTTGTTTTCTTTTTTCTTCTTTTTAAATTTTTTCTTTTTTTTTCTTTTTTTTTCTTTTTTTTTTTTAATTTTTAAATATGATTTCAGAGGTCTTCCTCTCCTATTGCAATTTCTGGAGAGCATACTTTCCCATCATAATTTTGAATGGACATGTGCCTGATGATATGATAATATTTTCTCTTCTGATTATTTGTAAAAGTTCAAATCCATTTCTGCTATATTAAGATATCTACTTACTTGAGTAAAAAGGTTGCATTTTAAAACAATATTTGTTTCTCGATGACCCCCACTTCTGTTCTCATTAAATTCAGCTACATTTAAGTTAGCTATTTGTGCTGTATTCCTTTAACTTTCATGTTGCATTTTGGCAGGACTTTATTTATGGTTATAATACAAAGTATTTTATTTTATACAGTAGAGACTTCATAAATTACAACATTATAATTATTTTGTTGAATGATCCAGCCAATTGCACAGATAAAGATTTCTATGGATGTGTCACAATCTACCTATGATTTCTACAGAATTTTATTTGTTTTTATTCTCTATAAAATTAATTTATAGTCATGTGTAAATACAATAGTGGTTTTGTTATATTAAAATCTTGTGACTTCTCTAACAAATTTTAGGACCATGCTGGAAAAGCACTTAGGGTTCTTAATATTAAGAGTCTGGCACAATTTAGGAGCCTGAGTTTAAAAATGAGATCTGTAATATTCTGCCTGATTTCTTGGATGCATGGAAGTGTTGGTATGCAAGTAACTTTGCCACTAGAAACTTCCAATATCTGAATCTTTGTGGAATGGCCTTCCCGCGAAGGACCTCATCTTGGATGAACTGAACATCTTGCCTCCTGTCTCGTGTCTGGGCTCAAAGATGAGGCACCCTTGTACCTAAGTGTGAGAGGGATTAGGAACCAGTAGACCAGCTCAGACAGTGCATGACAGGAGCTGACTGCTCACTGTGAAAATGCCTAGGCTCCTTTGTTGATCTAGGCCTGTTTTTTTGATCTTAGTCACAGCAATTACACCACAGAAACTGGTATAATAAACTAAAACATGAAGTAGAAATGACATAAAAAGGCACTGACCTTGTCATTGAATTGCAGTCAAGCACTGTTTCTGTAGAACGGTGGTCCATGGTATGGCTGAGTATTGTACAGTAAGTTTTATACTGCATGAAGCTGCCTGTGATATAGATACTCTACATTCTAGTGCATGAAGAGTATGAACAAAAAAAAAATAATTTAGCTTTATGTCTTCAGCAGAAGTTGAAATTCTTTCGGTAGAAGAAGGGTTAAAGTTTGACTTTTCATGAACTCTGTGGTACATGCCATTTTTTTGTAGTAACCTCTGTTTTCAATATTCTGTTAAAAAGCATAGTATTTCAGAGATCCAAATGAGTGGTAGACCTTTCCTGAAAAAGCCAAATGCTATTGCTCTAACTCTTATCTGCATGTTTCCTCACAGTGAAAAAAAGCCCAACATTTTTAGATGTGAACACAGGACCCTTCATCAGGACCAACAGCTTTGCCGATGAGCTTGACCTGGAGGGTGAGACGCTGTTGACCCCAATAACTCACATCTCACAGTAAGTCAAGGCTATTGAATTGTGCATTAGTTGACTTAGACAAGAGAAGCCAATTCAGGTGGGAGGAGCTGAAATATGGAGCTGATAGGGCTATCTCAGATATTTGCGTCAAACTCTTCTTACCTTGAAGTTGGTTGGTGTATACTGTTCTGAATGCCAGTAAATCTTCAAGTTGACCTAAAGAAAAGTTCACTTGGCTGTGACACAAGGCTTTAGTTTTTAGCTAATGTCTCTGGGCAGCTGGTGGTTGATAGCCTCAAGATTTTCACATGGAGACAATGTGTGGGAGTACTTGCCTGTTGAGAGTTATATTACTCCCTCCACCATTTTTCAGTGGAATAGCTGTAAAGTGCAATTTTTTAAATACTACTTATATGAAATACCAGCCTTTCAATTTTAGCAGCAACGGTCAAATGATAATCTGCATTGGAAGATAAGATCTGTTTTGATCTTTATTACTGCTTTGTGGTATATAAAAATGATCTTTTATAGGCCTGTATTTTTTATTTTGTTGATTTTTTCCTTTTAAAAAAAGATTATCCACGTGCCTTTCATGCTAAAATCTCTAGGTTCTCAGATTATTCTAAAAAATTGAGAATTGGAGAAGATTTTTATTCAAACGCCTTTAAAAAAATCTTCTGTCACTGTTTAATTCAAACTCCTGACAAATGCGTATTATTTACCATAGTAGATGTGTGACAGTATGTCCTCTAGCAGAGGAATGAGTTTTTTCCACTCCTATTCCTAGAAATCTGATGATTTCTACAGTGAAAACACAGATGAAAATTTTTGGCATACTTGTATTTCTGAGGTACAAAACATGCAGAAATGCCTGCTGCCAATTTTCAGGCCTGCTTCCTATACATATAAATAGCAGAGGAGCACAAATGTACTTTTTATAGCCACTTTAGAGGGGTATTTTTTTAAAAAAGTATGTTTGGGGGGAGTCTTCCCTGCTCCCAAACAAAAGGACTTGCATTTTCAGCTGAATCATCTAAAAGTACATATATTTGTAGGCAGAGGATTTAGGAGACTTGTATTCTGGAAGATTTCTTAGTGGTATGAGCAGGAGGAGGAAGTCATAAATTTCCTCAAGCCTTAGACAAGAACAACGGAGCAGCAAAACCAGATCTAGAAGTTTCCTTTGCATAGCTTTTTTTAAACCTTAATTTACCACAATATTGCAGGCTTTCTTAAAGAGAAATAAGCTTTGGTATTAGGAGTTACCATTATTTTTTTTTGATTTGGGAATGATTTAGTTATTTCTCATTGTCACCTTCATTAATAAGTTTTGAATAATAAGGTGCTCCATCACTTTTAAGTCCAACTTGTGTAACAGCTGTGATTTTTTTTTTCTATGAACAACTTGTGGGAGACCTTAGGATACAGGTAATGTGTATCAGCTGAAGAACCTTATAAAATTAAGGCCCTACTCTTTTAGTAACTTATATGTTTCTCTTTGACTTCCTTAATTTTTGGTTGTAACCTTTGTTGAAATCTCCCTAGATTGCTCTGGGTCATGGCTGATGGGACGGTACAAAACCTGTCCCCATATATGGCTTGAATTGATTCTCTGCTAGTGTGGAAGAAAATGGAAATTATTGTTTCTTTTAAGACTTTGGGTTTAGATTTCAAAACTGGATAAATTGGATTAAATGCAAAACTGGGTAAAATATTGAAATGTGTCTCTGAAGCATGGGTGCCCAAATGTTGTAGACCCTGAGAACTGTTCAATTAGAAGTGCATTTACTTTGTATGCAGTTTATGAAAAGGCCTGAAACAATGCCACATCAGGCTATAGATGTTAGGGCTTGGCAAAAAGTTAGTGAAAACCCTCTATTTTGTAATGTCAGTTGGAGCATTGGCGTTCAGGTAACAGGTATTCCCAAATATTTTGAAATGAATTCTGTTTGTTTTACTGTTGGATTGTGCTTGCATTTGAGGCGGTTGTAAAGTAAGCTGCTGTGCTGCGTTTCACTGGGTACCCGTGTTGCTGGATGCTGAAGGCCAATCAATTTCAATCCATGAATTATTTAGGCAAATGCTTCTTTTTCTTTCCTCATTTCAAAGTCCTAGGGAACAAATATTTATGATCTGGTTACACATGTGAGTAGGACCTGCGTGTCAGACGTGGGCATAGAACTAAGGATCAAAATTAGAACTGTGCAATAGATATATCTCTGTGTTCAGAGCCACGTACTAATTTTCTGTATAATAAAAGTGGTTAGTCATTTCAGATCTGTGTCTCTGTGTGTCTTTAATTCAGGATTGAAAGTTATGCCGTGCCTGAGAGAATCTAGGATGAATTATTTTGTTCTGATGTCCCCAGTTGTGAAGCATTTTATTTCCTTAAAGCCATCATATCAACAAATCTGGAGTGATCATACTGTATGTAAGGAAATAAGCAACGGTATGCAAGTCTAAACCCAAGTACTTAACAAAAATACAGCACCAGCTGTGAAAACAAGTTAGTATGGAAAAGTCAAATTAAGTGCAAATATCTTAGTTTCAGGTCTTAAAAGCAATTTGTACTCTATTAGAGGAACAGAAGCATGAAGACAGTTTCGGAAGTGGAAGCATAATATAAACCACTTGATCTAAGGATGCTTGGATTTGGGGTTCATAGAACTACTTCCTGGTCAATTACATATTTATTGCAACATATGAATTAGCTTATCCGTGAACCACAGAAAGGTGACTCCAGAATAAAATGATTTTTTGAAAGTCATAAATACATGAATAAATATTACATAGTTAATTGGAGACATGCAACTGGAAAGTGACCCTTAGTTGACAGTATGAAGAATATTTCATTTTGACAGGTAGTGTAAATCTGGCAAAAGTGTGGGCTACCTACTGTGTTACTGACAGGCAAACACTTGGCATCGTTGCGGCTTGAAGAATGAGGCTAAGTTTGTTTCCTCACTTGTATTGGGTCATGGAAGGAAAATGCCGTATTTCAGCCCTTCTGACAAAGGGCTTTAGGCTTCTATGCATAAAGTCCCCTTTAAATTGGATTTCAGTACCCTCCTTGTTTATACAAAAATTGCTCTCTTTTTGTAAATGTAGGTGCATATTCTCACTGAATTTACTAGGACTGGTTTTGTGTCCAATAACAAAAATGCAGGTGTGGGGTTTTTTGCAGGACATATTTCTGGCTGTATTTTAACTCTGTTTTGAAATAATTACTGTCCTAAATGTAGTCCTGTTTCTGTGGAATTAGAAAGGGGAAATCTTTCATGTGGCAAGATTACTGTACCAGTTAATCATTTGTCACTACCACTTTGAGGAAACAAAAATAGTAATAGAATCACTTTGACACCTGATATTCAAACAGGAAAGTGATTGAAATGTCAGAAAAAAACAGATTTGCAGCAGATGCATGCAGAAATATAGAATAAGATAGCAGTGCGTGGAACAGTGACTGCAATTTTCCTTCTATGTGAGAAGTCTTGTAAGCAGAAGACGCAGATTCTGGCAGAGCAATCTGTGTAATTAGCTATTATGGATCTCGCCTATGAAATGAACTGTAACAGTGTGAAGAATGCAGTACACAGTGTGTTGTTTGCGATAAGACTTGGCTCTTCAGTGGTTTGTTTAATGATTGTTGTGGTCTGTTCTGTTGTAAAAGTGACATAGCAATCTGGACTGTAACAATACTGCACCTCTCCTTTGGACTTCTCACTGTCCTCTTTCTCTAATCAGTTCGTTCCCGTATTGTCTCCTGTTCCCTGTTTCACTTCATTGGGTCTTTTGTTCTATTTGCATTTTAAAGCAGTGGAAAATCAATGCTACTCATAGCTGAGCCTCAGCTACCAAGAGGTTCTTTCCCTGTGTTTGTATAATTGTTTAATTTCAGCAGGTTTTTTAACTTTGTTTGGCATTAGTTGAAGTAGCAACAGAAATTAACCAAGCTTCTAAGCATACAGATGGGAGGGAGAAGGAGAAGAAGTGGGTGGGATTCAGCTGAAAAAGAAGAAGAAAATAACGAGGAACTCTCAAGCTAATAGATCTTTATATAAATATTTCTCACCTCTTTAAAAAGAGCTCTGCATTCTCCATGGATCTTTCAGGAATGCTACTGAATAATGCTCATTAGACATTTGTTTGTTTAATCAGTTCTGATGTATAAATGTTTGGTATTTCATTGTGCTTCTTAACAAGAGTAATCTTTTAGGGAAATACTATTTTAATGTATTGTAAATTTACTGCAGAAATAGAAACATAAATCACAGGTCATCTCTGGATACTGTATTTAAAGTCTTTATATGTAAAAAGTAGCTTGGTTTTTCACAAAGTTTAAAGAAACTGGGGAGACCCCTTGAGCAACTCGTACCTAGTTGTATCACCTTGAGTATCATACCAAATGAGTACTCGCTGTCATAAGACAATGTAAACCAATATACTCTCTAACTATGCAAATCGCTGGCAAAATTCTTGATCTTTAAATTGTGAGTATGGGATTACTTCATATACACCTTCCTCTCTAATTTTTTTTTTTTTTTGAAAGAATTACTGTGGGTCCAGCTGACTTCAGGGAATGTATTTCTTGCTGAAAGCAGTTGCTAACATTGCACATTTGTGATCCTGTTGTTGTCTATAAGGTCGAAATAACAGTAATTCTTGATGTCTTAATGACTCTTCCCCACATGTTTCACGTACCTTTTTATTGGGGTGATGGAAATAAATTTCATTAGTTAAGGATTGGTTTTGTCAGTATACATATAAAATAATTTTTCAGTGGAGGCTTTCTTGCAGCGGCATACTGCTGTGATATTAGATTTAATACATTAGGCTTACACAAAAATAAAGCATTAAAAACAAAAAACACTTTCTTTTTGTTGTTAAGTGTATTTCCATCCTGAAAAATATTCTGTGTCTTGACATCAGCTTTATCTTCTCTACTGTCTCCGTCAGCATCTCAGCTGTGGTTGGAGAGCCTTTTAGGCGTTGTACTCGGAATAAATGGGAGGCTCCAATGGTGGAGGTGTTCTTAAAAA